TTCACTTTGACTCATTAATGTTTCGTTGTTCTTGCTCTTAACACGTGTGCCTGTGTGTGACAATGGATTTGCAAGCAAAAAATCTTAAAAAAAGATTGATTGAAAAACGAAAAAATATTAAACAGAAATTTAAACTACTTAAAGAAGGGGAAAATGTTCAGAAACAAATGTTTTTTCCCATCACAAAACAATTGAAAAATATTCAAAGTGAACTACAAACAACTGCAACAAATAAACAGCAAGTGCCAGTAATCTCTCCTCCCTCACCACCTTCTCCGCCACATGAAAAATATAAGGTTAAAAACGAAAAACCTAAATCTCCTGACACCATAAAACATACAGCGTTAGCATTCTCGACTCCAGTTAATCCTGCAAAAATTAGTAAAAGAAGAGCGGAGTTATCATTAACGTTGCCGTCATTTCCAAAGGAAAAAGAAGAGGATATTAGCTCATTAAAAAGTTCCATATTGGATGATATTAGCAAGGAAGATGAAGATGATAATTATGTTGATGAAAGAGCTTTTACTAAATCACGTAGAGAAGAAATTGAGAAAAAAGCTTTCCTTGATTATCTAGATCAATATGATGAAGCATTACCAAGAAAATATGTGAGGGAAATGTATGAAGATACGCAAAATCAATTTGATCATAAATATGGAGTACGATTTATCCCGCAAGAAGAAAAATTTTATATCGGTAATTCTGAAATAATAATAGATGGTTCAGATTTTGTGGTTCAAAATAAAAAATACAAAGGAACTTCCGGACTGTACGAATTACTCTTTAAAAAGAACCCCAAAGGATTTACGGCAGAAGATGAAAAAGTATATAGACAGATTGTGTTAAAAACAAACGCACACCGACGATATTATAAGTCCAATCAGCAAGTTGCTGGAAGTAGGTTGGAAAAATATAAAAAGGTGTTAGCTCCACTTGTCGCAGGGGAGGGTATATTTTTGAAAGCAAACAACAACAAAATCGATTACGTTTACTTTGACGATCCAAACGAACTGGTCGAGAGATTGCGTGAATTGGTTGCATCCCAGCAGGCAGGACACACAGCACACGACAAGGAAATTACGTCAATTATTAAAGAACTGAGGGAAATTAAAGTTATCGCATAAATATGAAAAGGCAGCAGAAGAAGAACACCAAATTTATTACAGACGTTAAAAGGGATGTGGTTGAAGAACTTCATAAACCAGCTAGAATTAATTTCAAAAGACGCAGAGTCATCATTAAATCCTTTAACGATCTAATACAAGCAGACTTGGTGGAAATGATACCATACTCAAACATAAACAATGGTTACAAATACATTTTGGTAGTTATAAATTGTTTTTCCAAATATGTGTGGACATATCCGTTAAAAAATAAAAGTGCTGTGGAAGTTTGCAAGGCAATGGAAAATGTTTTTAAAGAACAAGTTCCACGAAACATCCAAACCGATTTGGGAAAAGAGTTTTACAATGAAGAATTTAAGAAACTCATTAAAAATATAAAATTAATCATTACAGTACGTATAGTGAGAAAAAGGCTTCAATTGTTGAACGAGTAAATAGAACATTGAAAAATTTAATGTGGAAAGAGTTTAGCATTCAAGGACACTACAAATGGCTTAACTTGCTACCGCAAATTGTTTCCAAATACAATAATACCAAACACAGAACCATTGGTAGAAAACCGATAGATGTGACAGAGAAAAATGAAAATGAAGTCTTAAAAACAGCCTATAATCGTATTAAAATGAGTGACTTGGATGCTAAATTTCATGTCGGTGATCATGTACGCATTTCAAAAGTTAGAGGAGTCTTCGATAAACAGTACATGCCCAATTGGTCAACAGAAATTTTTGTAATAAAAAAAGTACAGTACACCAATCCAACTACCTATCTGCTTCAAGATACAACTGGTGAAAACGTATTGGGTGGTTTCTACAAAGAACAATTACAAAAAGTCAAACATCATGATGTTTATCTGGTTGAAAAAGTATTAAAAAGACAAAAAAATAAAGTATTTGTCAAATGGTTGGGCTTTAGCGATAAACACAACAGTTGGATAGATAAGAAAAATGTAGCCTAACAAAATTTAGTGTTTAGTTGGCTTTCCTTGATCGTTTAAGATGCCTACACCAGTCAAATACAAATGTCCTAAATGTCGAGGAGAAACCGATTTGGAAAACGAAATGTGTTTACCCTGTACCTATCAAAAACATCTAAAAGAAGTTAATGGAACCAAACATGTTCTGGGTGGAACGTATGAAAAACAGCCGAAATTGTAATTTTATATCATGTATTTTAATTAATTGTTTTAATTTTTAATATATTTTAAATTAAATAATGTTGTAAATGTATAATTTATAAATAAATTTATTATTTAATTATTTTATTTTGTTTTTTATTTTAAAAATATTTCTCTAAAAGTATTTGCCAAGTGTAGGTGCGAGCACGCGAGATTTAGATTGCAGCAGCAGCGAAAACGTTTTGCTCCGCGCCAAAATTTTATCAAGCAAACATCGTACGTGCTCTTTAGTATGTGTTAACACACATACCTACTTACAACTCTCGGCAAAAATATAAATTTAAAATAACTATTAATACATAATTTATATTTTTTTTAATTTATTTTACTCAAACAACTAGTAATTATTAATAATAATAATTGTAATTATTAATAAATGCGTAAAATATTGTGTGGTGTGACGTGGCAAAGCTAGCGTATGTAGATCATTCAAGGTAAAGATTATAAGTTGGTCAAGTGGTCTCTTGGCTAGCGTATTCGTCCATGAATCGACAAGTCCGCGGTTCAATCCCCAGCGAATATAAAATATTTTTTAATTTTCATATTACGTCATCACATCGTCATAACCACGTGGCATAGATTTAAGAGATAAAATCTAGTTAGACAGTAGTACCAACCAAATTTTATTTACTACCAACCTAAGATTTAAGAGATAAACCAGGACCTCGAAGGTCCTTATCTTTCAGGAAAAGGACCCTCTGGTCATTGACCTTCAGCAGCCGAAGACATCCTGAAAAGGACCTCTTCGGCACTGAAAATCCTGAAAATCCATCTGAAGACCTTCTGGGCATTGTCTTCAACGGCTGAAGACATCCTGAAAATCCTGAATGGTAACACATGCCATCCAGTTTGAGTCAGGAACCCGCCTTCTACACTACTTATTGGCGTCCTCCAGTCTACTTAAAACAGCGGCAATGTGATTTAAGTGGTCTTCTAACGTACGCGATGTTATTAACAGGTCGTCGATGTAGTTCGTGGTAAATTCACGAACTTCTGGTCCTAATATAATATCCATCGCTCTACTAAATGATCCTACCGCAGTTTTTAGTCCAAACGGCAGAACTTTGTACATAAAACCACGACCGTTGTACAAGAAAGCCGTATATTTCTGACTATCCGCGTCTAGTGGAATTTTCCAGTACGATGATCGGAGATCTATGGTGGATATATACGAGATTCCATGGTACCGCTGTAGTAATTCGTCTATCGGCGGTGGCGTCTCGGCGTCTGCCTCCATCTGCGCATTGATCCACCGCGCGTCTAAACATATACGCACGGTCCAATCTTTATTTTTAACTACTGTCATTGGGCTCGCAAACGGAGAAGCTTTCCGTTCGATGACGCGTAACCTTTCCATCTCGCCTAATATATCCTCGACAGCGGACCTCGATGCAAAGGGTACGGGGTACGGTCGTCGTATAAATGGTGTCTCGGTAATCATCTTAATTTTATGCGTGGATTTATCCGTAAGTCCTGGGTTCGGATGAAAAACTGTTGAAAACCGCTTAAGAATGTCGAATAATTTATTTTTAATATCCGTGTCAACCGGTAACACTTCCTGAAGTTGTTGAATAATATTAATATTTCTATCACTATTATTAATATTGGCAATTAAAGAACTAATGTCTTCTGAAGTTATATCTAAAGAACATAAAGACTTTTCTATACTACTAAACTTAATATTATGATCCTTATTATTATCCTTAATTATAATTATTTTAGCAGAAAAGTCTATAGTTACACCATTGTCCATTAACCAGTCGGACCGACTGAGTCGGTACCTAATATTAATTCTTTAACCAAGTTCTTTACCACTAAAGCTACCACCTTACAGTTTAAATGTTTAACTATCTTAATATTTAAAATTACCTGGAGGCTTACTCGATGACTCCGTTGTCCCATTGCGCCACGTAGTTGAGTCGCAGCGACAGGTAGAGTTGGGGCCTGTAGTCCTGCGCTAATTAACGAGGTCCATAAGTCCTCTGAAACACAGGTTACCTCACTACCGGTATCAACTAACGCTACACATTGCTTGCTCCCTATTTCAACTATTATTTCGGGCACTACCCGCACTTCACTGTCTTCAACCACCGTTTTTTTAATGGTTTGTACTTCCGGATTGTCTAAATTTGGTCTTTTGACTGGAATAGTACAATGTACTAAAGGTGTTTGTATTACTTGTCGTCTCTTTCCTAAACCGGAACCAGGTTTCCAACCTTGTGCAGTTACGAGTTTCCACCCGGTACTATAAAGTTAATTTAAGTTTTTAATTGGTTCCGACACTGCGATGGTCGCAATGCATATTTGACCTCTAACTAACGGGATACGGCGACTTAGGCCCGGTTAGGCGCTCCCGGTGCGTTTCCGGACTCTTTGTGGAGCGGTTTATTTTGTTTCCCCAAATTTTTGTGTTGCGGCTGACCTTTTGACCATCGATATGGATTTGGCCATGCGGTGGCAATGGTCGTGCTTGTTTGCGGTCAGTTTTTTGCTTGGACTTCCGGGCGGCGATCCCGAGATGTCTCGCGACGACGCACCACAGCTCTCTCAAAACGGTCTCCTCGCTGTAGCCGTCGGTCGTTTCTTTCGATCGGTTTATTTTGGCCCCTATTTTGTACAGTATCTTGATATTGCCGTAAAAACTCGCCGAACTCAATCACTGTTTTCGATCCTTTCACCATCCATAAATTTTGTATGTCCTAGGGATAATGTTGTACTAAATTCGCGAGCAACTCGTCGGGAGGGATCGCAGGTGTTAACAGAGACGCTAGTTCGACCTGTTTTGCGAAGTGTCCAAATAAACTGTCTCCCTTTGTAGGTTCATAGCGATCGTGGCTAATCTTATAGCGCACTTCTCTCTGTTTCTTGGCATTCAAATATGTGCGTAGTAAAGCGGCTTTAAAGTCGCCATACGTTTTCCAAGAGCATTTGTATAAGACCGACCACTGTTTTGCCTCGCTCTTTAAACGAGCAAGCGCCAAATCCAACATCTGGTCCGGCTTCCGGAAACTAGCTTTCCCATACGCCTCCAATTTCTTAATAAACCCTACAGGGTTAACGCTATCATCGCCCCAGAAAGTCGGTTTGTCAGGTAGCAGGTCGGTTTGCGTCATTACACCCCACAACAGCTGTTTCAGATCTACCTGTCCTTGGTCGGCAGCTTGTTCGACTGAGGAACTGTCAGTTCTGTCGGTTGAAATTGTTGGAGAGGCAGGCGCCTCGGCGTGCATGATAATCTCCTCTGAAGGCGGCTGTACGACGGTTAGCGTCGCACCGGGGTTGACTTCATGTAGGCTGGTCACAGGCCTATGATTTTTCGAGCGAGATATTTCCTTAAAAAAGAGCGAGATTTTCGTTGAAAGAGCGAGACCTAATCCAATTTTATGTGGCTCCATCTATAATAGCTGCACTTTACCAATTTAGTAGTTTTCTACCAAAATTATTAAACTCAGATGTTTTCTACATTTTCAAAGTACCTAACAATTGCAAACTCTAAAATTTACAGAATCCAAATAAAAAACACATTTTTAATATTTATATTTTTATTTTCCCAGATCTGGTTAAACCTAAACAACATAAATATCACAAAAAAACTAGTATCAAAAACACAACAAAAAAATAATAGGTAGATACTATAAAAGTTAAATCTAAACAAAAATATCACAAAAATAAAAAAACAACATCACAAAAAAAAACTAGAATCAAATCAATAACTTATTTACAATAAGTACTATAAAAATATAAACCTACATAACTAAACTTTCTTTAACACTGTTAAATTAACAGTATTATAAATGATTGCTTTTTGTGAAATCATATCTGCTAGAAAACTTAAGTTAAGGTCGCTCTTTAAATTTTCTTTTAAATAGTTTCTCACTGGGGTTCCATGAATAGCACGTACTATTGCTAATCATTTCTTTGGTATAAAGAATATTTGAGCAGGTTTCAATGTTAAGTCTATTACGTACTTTAGTTTTCAACAGAAACAGTTGTGAAAATATTCTCTCAGCAGCTGCTGAGGAATGGGGTAAATATAAATCCCTTTTACAAAACTTGATAAGTTGGGAAGCAAAGGTTCATTCATGCCATTTTTTAAAGCAAATACAATCTTCCAAAATGTTTCCAAATCTGTTTCAATGTATTTTCTTAAATGTGTTATATCAGGCAGCATTCGCCATTCAGAATTTAGTTTTTCAATGTCAGTGATTAAATTAGGAAAAAATTGGCTACTTGCCGCTGCAATACTACCAACTTTCCCTGACATGGCTTCTAAGGGATCAAAAACTGATACAAAATTTAAAATTGGATCATCAAAGTCAAACCTAGACGTAAGTTGAGTGGCCAACTCAATATAAAACTCTAAGCACTTTAAATATAACTCATCTTTTTCTTTCTTATCTACATTTTCTTTAGAAAGAAAGACTACTTTGGTTCCAAGGTATAGTTTTTCAATGTCTAAAAAGTTTTTGGGATTTTTAGTATCTATATTTTTTAAACAGTTTTCATTTTTTTTTAACATAATTTAACAGGTTTTAAATAGTTTCTTAAGATACTTTTAAAAAGATCCGGTACTCTTTTTAATAAGATAAGAAGTTTATTTTTTTCTGCTTGAAATTCTAAATTTAATTTATTAGTAACATCTAAAATGTACAATAAAAAGTAAAAATATAATTTATATATAGGATTCTTCAATGAATTAAGTATTTTGTTACAAGAGGTTTTGACTAAAACATTCATTTGTAAAAAAAAAGAATCAGTGCATCCCAATTTTCGATCACTCTATCAACTGCTGCCTGCAATGACAACCATCTAGTTTGAGCAGGGTGGAGAAGTTTATGTGGCTTTAACTGGCAAAATATTTGACATTCATTTAACTCTTGGATACGTTTTGAGCTGTTTGAAAAGTAGTTGTATATTAGGGTGTCCGTTATTTCCCAAGTTGATTTTTTTTTGCTGCCGCCCTCTGAAATTTTAGTTTTAGCTCTAAAAAAAATGATCCAACGTAAATAAGCTCTTAATTTTTAATTTAAACCGAGCCGGAATCATGATACTTTTCCCATTTAAATAACATGGGATTTTCTGACCTTTTGCATTTAATTTTTTATCTCCGAATCAAATGAACCTACATCTTTAACAAAGACATATTCTAATACAAAATTTTACGCTCTACAAAAAAGGTCTATTTGGTTTTTTCCATAAAAACATTCCTTTAAAAGTTATTCCCGATTAAAGTTATGCACATAGTTTTTATCATAATTATTTAGGTTTTATTGAAGTTTTCTGTGATACAATTATTAAACTCATTTATAATTGTTATAAAAATTTTATTGAACAAGCTTATCAGTTACAATAAGGGAAAAAATGCATTACTAGTTATCTTACGATGTATTATTAGTTTTTTTGTCTTTTTTCATTCACGTTTCTTTGTTAAGCAACTTTTTGTCGCGTTAGGGTAAGTATTCTTGTATTCTTGTACAACTTGTACTAAATACTGTTTTTGGTCTTCTTTAGTAGTCAAAATGTTGATATAAGATAAGATAAGATAAGATAAGATAATTTATTTAGTGCTAGTATACATATAGTACTTACACACGTCAAAGTAGTAGTATAAGTATAAGAAAAAATAACAAATTAAATTTTAAAACATCACGAAACACTTTAAAGAACAGGAAAAGTTCATACATATGATGCAAGAACTCACCTACAAATCTCTAACGTCACAATCCAAGTACTCCTGGGTTGTGTAGAATGCATTTAAAATTAAAAATGACTTAAACAGATACTTAAAACGATCAATAGGAAGACTTCGAAAGTGAGTTGGCAGTTTATTAAAAAATTTAAAACAGTGATAGTTCAGACCATTCTGCGATTTCTTCAGTCTGTAAAAATTTATACGGGTATTATCTTTGGCTCGAGTATTGTAGTCATGGACATCACTACCTTTAGTGGATCCGTCATAAACGTTATAAGCGTACAAAACACAGCGATAAACATAGAGACATGGCAAAGTAAGTATTTCTAAATTCCTAAATGCCTCCCTACACTCATCTCTGTATCCTAGACCCCAAACATAATCTTGAGTCAACTGAACTGCTCTTTCAGCTACATCATTAACAACTTGCAGATTATTCACAATATTCAAACCTTCCAAGTAATCATTATTAGTTGACCATGTTTCAACATCTAACTCTAAAAATTTGTTTATGTTAAATTACTCGAATTAGAATTAATAAAAAAGTCAATATCTTTTTTCTGTAAACTAATAATTTCACTGTCTGAGTTCACTACGTAGCGTTTAGGGGAATCAAAATCCATATCTTCATGGCATTTTAATGCTTCAACCATTTTATGCTTTATGGAAAGTGGTATATTTGGATCAAAAAAAGCCAATGCAGCAGTTTCAGCATTCAAATACCACAAATGATTTTTGAATTTGTGCAAGACTGCTTCAGAAAGTTCCTTATCAACAGTTTTGTATTGATGTACAGTTTTTAAAAAATTCAAGTCTTGATACGGAGCTGATGCTGCAAGAGGTGTCGTAAACCAAAATGGCACGTAAACAAAGACTATGAATAAACAAATATCCAAAAGACTTTGTTGTATTGCAAGATCTACCTTATAAATGTCCCGGAAAATGTATATTTTCAGCGAATAAATCGCTTTTGACATCCAGCGAGCATGGTGAAATGCTCCTGGTTTATAAAATTTCACCTTATCAGCTTCCATCGTACCGAGAAAAATTTGACACAACTCCAAAAGCTCTTTATAATCATCGCAAGGTAAAATTTCACTTTTTTCAGTTTTTGATAGCCTCATTTGTTTTTACAACTTTTGTTAACAATTTTTTAGGAATTTTATTTCTTGTTAAACCATTTTTATATTTAGTTTGATCAACTAAATTCCAATTTTCTTGAAATTCTTTAAATAGAGCAACGTTTGGCCCATCTGTTCCCGGAATTTTCGTAACAAAAACACAATTTAAGACCAATTCGTAGATATGATGTCTACAAGGTAAATACAGAAGATCTTTTTGTAACAGTTGCTCCAAATTAATAGCCGCTCCATTGCGACAACCAAGATTTGAAGCAGTTGTGTCGCAACAAAGTGCTTGAATATTGTCAGATAATCCCCATTCTTGAACACTCTTAAAAATTTCCTGAGCCTGAGTAACTCCTTTTCCATCCGGTAATGCTGGTACGTTTAATATTTTTTCAACAGTCTTGCTTCGAATTATTATAGGCACGCGGTCAACCTTTTTACAGGATAGTCCATCAGGTATTAATTTTCCATCCCAGTGAACCACCGCAGCTCCAACCTCAGTTTCACCGAATAACTTCTTCATCCATTCAGCCGCGTCCCTCCGAATTTTCGACCTACGTTCATTAAACGAAGTCTTGTTGAGAATCAAACTATCAGAGTCTACTCCTAGGGCCATCGCGACAGCTGATATTATTCTAACGGAATTTCTATAAGAAATCTTACAGTTGTCGAGAGTAGCAACAACATGTTCCGTCAGAATATTTATTGTCCCTCTCTCACGTTTCGTTTCATAATTTCGCCCCTGTGCTTCAAACATTGAAGCTGCGCTTTGCTGAGACATTGACATCGATGTTTCTCCACTTAATGGGAGCTCCGGTAAAGTTATGTCTAAAGATTAAGTACAAAAAATAGTTTTAGTGAACGGGTGGCTTTAGCTCACTTTCTAACTTAAGCTTGAAATTTTTGTGGTTTTAACAATCATAAACATTAAATTTTGTATACCAAAATTTGAGTCTTGAGTTGCTCTTTTATAATAACTATGTTATAATATTACATAGGACTAAGTTTCAAAAATAAAAATTAAAAACTGGGTGTGCAAAGTTACCCCCTGGTTGCGGGTTACTTTGTCTAACAGTGTATTTTCCGTATAAAATTAACTCAATATTTTATTTTATTTTTATTAGACACATGTTAGCAGCGACATATATCTACTGCAAGGGATTACCGATAAAAAAAAATTAAAAATCGACCTGTAGTTAACCAAGGATCATCATTCCAAAGGATTACGCATAATATAGAAATTGTAACGCGTGTATTTCTAAGAGTTTTGCACTGATGCGATATATACAATTTTAAAGTGTAATAAATCCCATTTCTTTCTTTAAAACACTGATTTTCCTGTAATACAAACTCAATAGAATCGCTCAATTGACAGGTTTAGACCAACAAATTATAAATGTTAATTTTATCGAGCGCGAAAAGATTTTTCATAAAAGGGTTAAAGTCACCCGTGTTTACGGTACTCATTACACTTTTCATAAAATAGAATTTTGATACATGAAATAATTTAATTTATTGAGAGGTATTATCAAACACTTAGATTAAATACCTGAATCTGAACGATGTTGATCCGAGAGTGTTGATTCGACATTATCAGGTATTGATGGAGTTTTATCAATAGATTGAAATGTAGTGGAATCAATATCTTCCTCAAAAACAGGTGTTTCTAAATTTAATAACAAAATTAGTAGTCTGCAAACAATTTTCATTTTCAATAAATTATATTTATTAATCATTAACTTACCAGGTGACTCAAAAGAATCATTATTTTGCTTAAAAAAACGTAAGTGATACTTTCTTTCTGTCCTTTGATCTTGTAAAAAATCTGCGGTCCCATTATCAACTGTATTTTGAGTATTGCCATGAGCTATATCAAATAGTTTTTCAAGACATTGGGAAAACTCTTGCTCGCGATCTAGATTTGAGCTTTTTTGTAAATCTCTGTACGTATGATGGAGTTTTTCTATTTTTTTTACACATCGATATTTTTTTTGTACTGGAATCCCAGCTCTGCTCCAAAATTTGCACACTTCTTCTACAACCACTGAGTAACTGGCTGCAAGTGTTTTTTTTGTTGTCTGGTATGCCAATATAATAATTTCAAGACTTGTTTATTCGTTGGTAATTTATGACCGCTAATCGTGTCACTCGTTTCACCCAAAAGAAAGATTGGATCACGTAAAGTCATCGATTGATTCATTTTTAATCAATTAATTTTAACTTAAATAATTAAATTAATTTAATTGATTCGATACAAGTAATATTTAAGATAAAAACCACTCGAAATTTGTTCATTCTTTTCAATTGACACACATATTTACGACCACTGAAAGACAATGAAACAATAACCTTAAATTATAGTTTTGATCAATTGATCATAGATGGCGCAATGTTAGTTTTCCACCACATACTTCCTGTGTGGAAGTATGTGTTTTCCACATTAAAGTTGGTGAAGAAATATTGTTTTATTGAAAAAGTATGGCTCTAGATCCTTTTTTAGTCAAAATCAAAAGGCGCAATTAGAATTTGCTGTGAATGATAGAAAAATTTGATTATAAACTATGTGCATAACTTTGACCGCGAATAACTTTTAAAGGAATGTTTTTATGGAAAAAACCAAAGAGACCTTTTTTGTAGAGCGTAAAATTTTGTATTAGAATATGTCTTTGTCGAAGCTGTAGGTTTATTTGCTTTGGAGATAAAAATTAAATGCAAAAGGTCAGAAAATCCCATGTTATTTAAATGGGAAAAGTATCATGATTCCGGCACGGTTTAAATTAAAAATTAAGAGCTTGTTTATGTTGGATCATTTTTTTTAGAGCTAAAACTAAAATTTCAGAGGGCGGCAGCAAAAAAAAAGTCAACTTGGGAAATAACGGACACCCTATTGTATATATCCCTTACAAAATCTTCCACACTACTAGGTAATTTATTCGCAGCAGCTGAGGCACACAGATGCTTCGTCTATATTATAATCATAATGGAGACTTGATACCAATAAGACATTTTTATTTGGCTTAGGTTTGTAAGATACAAGGGCAGCATTTTTTCGAAAACCGAATAAACTACTGTTAACTTTTCGTGACTTTGAGGGATTAACAAATTCAGGTAGTAGCTCTGTTTTGTTTTTACGTATGGTACCTATCGATTTTAGCTTTTTTGAATACAAATATTCTAATAAATTAATGCTTGTGAACCAGTTATCGGTCGTAACATTTCGTCCAGATGCATATATAGGCTCACACAATCTTAAAACTACCTCATTTGGAGAGTTGCTTACAGCATAGGGACCTTTAGGTTACCGACCTAAATACTTCTAGATTTGACGTAAAGTAGCACTTGGCATCAACTAGGGCAAATATTTTTATCCCATATTTATTGGGCTTATTTGGGATATACTGCCTGAACGAGCAGCGTTCCTGAAATCCTTCCAGTTTTTCGTCTATGGTTACATAATGAAAAGGACTAAGCAGTTTTGCAGTTGGTAACAAAGGCATCACATATTTCGAGTATAGGTGCTAACTTACCCAGACTTTTGCTTTCCTCGCGAGATTCAGAATTATCGAATCTCAAATGTCGTAATAGGAATTTAAATCTATTTATAGACATGACCATTCGAAATATCTCTACTCCAGGTCCTTGTGTACTGTACAACTCTCTTATATTCAAACGACTTGATTTCAAGACACCGGCCAAATATAATCCAAGAAGGGAATGAATCTCGCAAATAGTTGTAGGTGCTGTATCCCTTCCACGAGAATAGTTTTGTGCTGTTGAATTGACATGCTGATTTGTACATTTGACAATTATGTGTAACATGTCTGTAGTGAAAAAGTACTTCCAAATTTCAAGTGGATTTTTTAAGTTTTTAGTTGAAGTTTTTGGACCAGGTAAATGTTTCAATAACATTATTGATCTGGTTCTAACAGTCTTCGGCGGTGCGTTTTTTTCCACTTGGTGGATTTGGTTTTTCCCATAAATACTTCTGAATAAGAACATTCAATTTCAATATCCGAAATATCTTGCTCGCTTTCTGAGTCCTCACTTTTCGTTTATACATAATATTTATCTCCTACGTCGTCATCATCGTCATAACAAAGTTCTTCTTCCTCATCATCTATCAAAGCATCAGCCATCAACTATTCCAGGAGTTTCTGCTCTGCCTCATATGACGCCATCTTGAAAAAAAAAGTGGAGTCAATACATATAATTCCACAAGGAAACGCTTATTTTCACAAACGTATGCATAAATATTTATTCTTAGACATTCACTAGGCGTTCACTTTACAATAATATAAGTAAAATATAATTACAGTGATATAAGTAAAATGTATAAATTAATTTTCACTCACTTTTGTAAAGCAAATACTGCACTGAAAACGACCTTTAGTGCACAATGCCATCTATCAAAAACTCACATGACATATCTAGACTATAATAAACTATACTAAACATATATAATATAAACAATTTTTATATACATATTAGGGTGGGTCAAAAAAACCGACTATTTTTTTTTACTTTGTACTCTGAAAAATCGGTTACTAGACACCTCTAGAGAATTCTCACCCTACATGAGCTCTTAATTTTGATAACAAGGTCCTCCGCTTTACAATTTTCCATTTTTTTTCAGTATTAGAAACAAAAATTCATATCTCTTCGACAACTGTTCGTTAAAAAATAACTCTCCTCATATTCTTGTAGGAAATCGAACGCTCTAAAAAAAAAGGTCTCCTACAATTTTTTCGTAAACCTCACCGTTAAAAAAATATCGAAGGTTAAAGTTTAATTATTTTAAGAGAAATATCTGTTTTGCTTATGAATTTTATAACTCGCTTACAAAAATTTTTTATGAATCGCGCTCATAGTTTTGTAGGAAATTAACTGCTCTACAAAAATGGTCTCTTATGATTTGTCGATTAAATTAAGCGTTTAAAAGATATTCATCGTCAAACTTCAATGCATACTAATTTTAACAGTTTTTGATGAATAATTCGAAAAATTTCAATTCAATTTTTGAGTTTTACGAAAATTTATACAAATTTGAGTTCCTATGAAAAGAGAAACTATTTTTCTCGTTTTTTTAGTCCTACATATGTTTGGTTATATTAAAAAGAAAAATAGTGCATTATTTCTAACTCAGAGTCAATGATTTATTAAATTTTGAAAAAAATAACGTTTTTGTCATAAATTTAATATGAAAAGTATTGATCTTGAAGAAAAAAAAATTTCTATTTCTTATTAAAAAGTTTCCTTATTTAATTTTATCAACTGAAATAAAAATTTTAACATTTATAATCGTACACTTTTACTGTAAAAAGTTTTCTTTATTACAATTTGGGTATTGTTTGCGATGTTCTTTTATAACTTGCAATAAATATTGAAATTGCTCTTCATTTTTTGTTAAGCATTGGTTATAATCATCGACTAATGCAACAGCTCGCTCTGCCGAATCATTAACAACTTTTAATTGCTTAAAGTATTCTTTATTTTCATTATAACTGTCATTAGTAGGCCACAACTCAATGTCTATATCAAAAAAGTCAAACAGTAGATCAAAAATTTTAAAGAGATTCAAGGACTTTTTGGAAACAAAGTCACTGAGATATGTTTGCATTAATGAATTCAAGTCTTTTCTATCAATTATAAATCTTCTAGCTTTAGAATCTGTACCTTCGCGAGTTTTCGCAGCTTCAACAATATTTTGTTTTATCTCCAATGGAACGGCATCGTCAAACAACGATAAAATGGCAAGTTCATCACTTAAGTACCATAAATGACAAATCA